CCCCCCCCCCCCCCTCCCCCCCCAGGCTGGACACTGCACAGGCGTGGGTGCAGAAACAGCCGTGAACTTGAACTTGACTCGGCTTAGTCCGATAGTCCAGGAGAGCTGCTGCTTCGTGCTCTGGCTGGAACCTGTTATGGCAGATGGCCATGTGTTCCCCTGGTCCTGCTTTTAATTCAGATGGTTTTAAATCCGCTTCAGTTGTGTTTGTTTTAATGTGACGTTTTGTAGTAGAGCGAAGATGCTGACAAGTTGGGGCCCACTGTCAGTGAACTTGAATTGCTCGCACAGATCTAAAGCTCATGACTAAATAAATATCACAGTCCGAGTAGGCCTAAGGTAGAGAAAAAGGGATTTTGCCAACTTGTTGTTTTGTGAGACTCTGGCCACTGCTGGCTGTGCACGCTTCTGCACTGTCATTGTGGTTCTACGTGCCATGCTTCGTGGATGTTCAGAAACACTGCAAACACACAGCGGACTAGTTAGAGATTGTGGCTCGTCGGGGGCCCGCCCCGGCGCGGCAGCAGCAAGTGGCACTCCGTCTGTCTTCAGGAGCTGCTGTCGCCTGTTACTCAAGCTGCTCACAATCCTTGGCTCCCAGAAAAAAAAAAGACGTTGGCAGCTTCCGCAGAGAAGCCATGCTGAAGCAGGCAATGATATCAACTGAATAAAATTAGAATCTACTAAAAAAATGATGTTGGCTTCTCCTTAAAATACTTTTAGAAGTTTTCGTGAGTTTTGCTCGTTTCCTGTGGCACACCTCGCACGGCCCAGTTCCATTATCGCCCAATCAAAAGAGGATCAACTCTTTCGGCAAAAGGAAAAAACAGCTGAGGCGAGTTTGTCCCAGAACACGGAGAGGAGGAAAACACTGGTTTATATGCAGCTTATTTAGCACTTGAAACAACCTCCTAATGGCCCCTTCAGTGGCTGGCCCGGTGACCTCTGTGGCGGAGGAAGGTATGACCTGTGGGGAGTGGGAAAGGTCAGCTCCACACGGTGTGTCGATGCCGGTTCCTGTTCGGCTCCTGCTGCGCTGATATTGATCCCCTGAGAAGGGAGCGTTTTTTTCCTTCTCACAGATCTTTGTGCTTTGTTGCCTGTACTGTAAAAACGCTATACTGTAAAAACACACTTCAACCTGCTTCAGCTGACATGTGGCTGACAGGTGACGTTTTTCAGGAGTTGTGTTTGTACTCAGGTCAAAGTTCAGGATTTTTTTTTTCGAGTTCACTGCCCAGTCAGGATCACCTGCGTAAAACATTATCCACATTTTCATTTGAGGGTTAAATTTATAAAGCCATATTATAAACATCAATATTAAACTTCTATTCAGACTGGTAGCTCTGGAGTTAAAGCCTCTTTTTTCAGTCACTGGGATCTTTGTCTTTCTTTATCTACCATCTTTACATCCGGCTTTTTCAATATGAGAAAACCAGCAAGGGAAGAGCAGCTTAGTGATGTAAGCTACTGCATGAAAAGAACTTCTTTGACCGTTTATAGCAAAGTACAGTGTTTGTTCGGAGAATACAGACTGAGCAGAGGGTTTGAGAAGGACAAGTTTATTTCTATAATCATCTCGGATGTATCATTGCGCACAACTGTATTTACCGCTGCATCAGTGTAGTTGCGCACCCGCTGCTGTGCGTGCGTGGGTAGGTGGGCACATTTATGACCAACAGCCTGTCGACATTTGGGATAAGGTCGTTTAAGCTGAGCGTCACTAAAGCTGCATCTCACTATGTGAGCTGAAGTGGTTCCTGTGTTAACCGGGGTTGAAGTTTGTGGAAGAGGCTGAAGCAAGGAGCGGTTATGATCGTGGGCCTCAGGGGAAGGAAGCCAAGGCGCTGCGTTCAAGGTGTCTGCGTGTCCTAGTCTGCACTTGTTGGTGTGCAACCGCACTTGTCAGTCAAGTCACTGCAGGTGGAATTATCTGCCTCTTTTAATCCTCTCCATCCCTCCCCCTCCCTCTCTCTCTACTGTCATGCCCAGTTAACTGTTTTTTTTTTGCTTATAACGAACATTTATAATAACGTGTTGTTGAAACAAAGTGTATTTTTGCACACATGCAGACTGAGGAGAACAGATCAATGCTCTGAGTCATTGATATTCATCAAAGTGTAATTGTTCTTTTCTCCATATGTGTTTGTTAAAGGCTTTGAAAGGACACGTTTAGTTTTATTTATTTTTAAAAAACCCTGCTGATAGAGCTACATCTACTTTACCTTTTCTCAATTAAAGACTTACATTATGTCAAATACAATTATGAAAATTGTTAAGGTCGTAAAAATGCCAGTTTAAGGACTGTGTCAATGGTTTTAGTGGGCTCTTAAATGCCATGTCGATTTAATAATCAGAATAGTTCAATTGTATCGGAAAACTGATACGATCTTACACATTATAAGAACTGTTCCATAAATATATAAACTGATAAACGACCGTAGTGCATCATAAGAACAATGTGCTGTGGTTATTGTGCTCCTTATTTCCCTTTATAAACAATTGGTAAAAGCCTAAATAAATTCTTTCAAAGTCAACAACAACCGAATAATGGAACAAAGTGGGGAAATAAATGATTCCATATAAACCTATTCCTTGCTCTTCTGAACGCGCCTGTTCTTATTCAAATGAGCAGATGTTTCATGTGCACGTTTATTCCACTTGCTGTTCGCCCGATCCTTCCATTTGTGAATATCTGCGTCATATCAAATTTGCGATCATGTTTCAGTAAATGCGTCAAAGGTGCACACCGTAGTGCACTTTAACTTCATGGCTGTTACACCAGACCCGTTCCCGAACGGGCCTCCTCGGCACAGAAAGCACAGACACTATCAAGAATCTGTCGACAGTCGTGTTTTGAAAGAAAACTTTTGGAACAAACGCCATATCCTCTAATTGAATTGGAACTGCTCTAATGAAATGAACGCGTCCGTTCGCCGATCTGTGTTATTTATAGCCACACGTGTCTCTTCGAACAGCGGGCCTGCACGCCCCCAAACACTATTTTAATACGAATCATAAATGCCACAAACAACATTCCTTCAAAATATTCAATAATAAACCAAATAAGACAAATAAATGAAATGGTTCAGCTCAGTTTCTCCACACATTTCAGAGAAAATGTGGATTATCATGTGCTGAATAAAAACGTTGGTGACAGAAATATTGTAATGTATGTTTTGGTCCTATGATATGCAAACTAGCTTCAGAGGAGATTTCTTGTGATATGTCCTTGATGGTATTCCCTGGCTGTGTCTCTTAATAGAGAGGTCAGCTCAGGGTGCAGAGCAGTGTAGCTCAACATGATTAAAATATCAAACATCAGTGTATCAGCTACAGTAGATGCTCTCATATGTTCATTTTTGCTGTTTATATTGTGGAAAGGACTCTTTCTGTCTCTCTCTCAGAATCCCTCTGTCTGTCTCTCTGCGCCATGCTTATGCTGTGTTTGTACTGAGGTCGATGTACAGTCTGCCTTCCTGTGCAACGCTGCCCCCCAACCCCCTTTTGGCCTTTCATCTGAGTTCAGCGGCCGCCTTTCTCACACAGATGAATGTGTTTCTGTGAAAGAGCCGGAATGGCTGTCACTTCTCCTGGCACGGCGGAGAAACAAACAAAACCCCCTACTCCTTTAAGGAAGCTGGCGCAGGCACCTCCCATCGGACACAAACACTACAGAGTCAGAAGCACAAATAGCCTCAAAAGCTAAACACTCTCCCTTTCATGCAGAAAGCTTGGCATGACCGGCCCTCTCATGCACACAGAGAAAAACAAAGTGGAGAGGTGCAGAGTAAATGACATACTCGAGCTTGACTGAG